TTTCTCTCTCTCTCTCTCTCTCTCTCTCTCTCTCTCTCTCTCTCTCTCTCTATTTCGTCCCGTGAGAAACTTTTTTTTTCCGTGAGAATGAGTTTGTGAGAGGGGTTTTTAAAAGATGATAAAAAGGGGGATTAGGTAGAGTAGGTAAAGGTTTTGTGAAGATTACATTGTATTTGTTAAAGATGTTTGAGCCTATATACCATAAGCGTGAAGAGTGTGTGCATAGGATGTAATATAGCATGTAGTCATTGTTCAGGACAAAACAACAGAAGGTCACAAGGAAGTTTTTAGCCGCCACATAAAAACAAGACCACCCCTTCGAATCTCATACTTAAAAATGCAATATTTCACATAACCCCAAAAGAATATTAATCAAGTTTGACTAGCCTTAGTTAACCAACCTAACACGTTACTCTTCCTTTTTCCACAAAGGACAAAGCCATTAATCAAGTAAATTTCTTCACGTGGCTCCCCTCACATAGGAGTTGTTATCACATAGTTGTCCTATCCTCCATCCACTATTTCCTTTGCTACTTTACCCTAATCATTTAGTAACATTGATTCAGTGTAAATTTCATAAATTATATGTTCGATAAAATTTTACCATAAATTTTCAACCATCAAATTTCACATACTATAGAAAAACTACCTATAAAATGTCATGAACTTATGCTTAGGATTTACTAACTATATTAATCTTTTAGATAGAAAGAGTGAGGGAGACAGTTGTTAGAACCGGATTAGAACATTAGGTAAGGTTAGGGGGTATTACAGAAGCCGTCAGTCGACTGATGGAAGCCGTCAGTCGACTGATGCTGTAACGGCTAGTTTTTTCTAGCATGTTCCAGTTTTGGGTTTTTTGGTCTTTTTGCCTTGTTTTCTTTTGGCTTTTGGGTTCCTATAAATACCCCCACATATCCTTAGTTCATATTAAGAAGAGAAAAGTTTTCAAAAGAGTTTACAAGTTTTGTTTAAGGGTTTAAGTGTGTTTTTAAGAGTTTGTTTGTGAAGATAATTTCACAAGAGCTTGAGGAAGATCATCAATTGGTATCAAAGCACTTTCAGAGATTCTCCATGACCATGCTCCAGTGATCATAGTCACCATCAAACTTAGGAATAGAAGGTTGAGAAAAGCTACTGTTTGCTTCTGACCCCATCTTTCGCACACTCTCTTACTTGTTTTTTTTTCTTTTCTTTTTCTCTTTCTCACTCTTTCAAGTTCTCAAGTCAGGCCCTCGGGATGGCTCTGATACCAAAAATGTTAGATGCAAACAAACTCAAAATAGAAAGCTGGAATGCAAAGAACAATTCTGGAATGACTTATTATTGAATGAGAAACAACAGCTATTAAATAGCTTTTACAGAATGAAACAGAAACAAACTACACCCCAAGTTTTAACTAGAATCGTGGTAACAAACTTGACTAAATCAAATAACAACAGTCCCTAAAGACTAGGAGTTTTATTCTAACAGAATAACAAACTAAATATTATCAAACGGCGCCTTCATCTCGTTAAGGAAGGCTTCCAAGTGTTCTCTCCAAACGCATTGCGTCCACAACCGAACACCTCCCTCGAAAACAGGAGACCGAAGCAGTGCACAGAGACCAATTGGTAGGTCAATTTTTGCCGGATAGGGCACGATATTTGTCGGTGCACCCCATCCATAGTCAACCTCAAAAAACCCAGTATGCCTCCAATCGGATACAGAGAGCGTGGAATACGAAAGCTCGATTTCTTCTGACTCCTTCAGGGGTCTCCGCTTGGCATCTCTTAGCTTGCTTACCATCTCAGCGAGTGTCGCTCGACAAACGTACTCACTAGTAGCCTTGACTGTTTTCATGCTGACAAGGTTTCCATAGTAACCACCTCTAAAAGGCAGCACTTGTTCCTCACTTGATCTCATATTTATAGGAAACACTAGAGTGACATTAGTATGAGGCTCTAGATTCATTGCAGTTAAGACGTCAAAGCTAGAGCAATATTTCCCATCTGTTTCCTTGGTAAAATTATTCTTCAGCTGATTGATTTGGTCGAGTGATAGATCCACTGCGTGTTCTTTCAAAATCTCGCTTGACGGTGTTATATCCGTGATAGAGAGTTGTCGCGGATCAAGGATGGATTCCCTGAACCAGATTGGTTTTGTTGAGGGTTGGCGAAGGCCTCGGGAGATTTCGGCGACAGCGTTCATGAATTGGGCAAATCCACAGCCATCGAAGAATGAGTGATGTGTTGGGAAATTACTCGTTGTTGGGTGATTACTCGGATTCACCTATTGCCAGATTTGAGAGAAAATAAAATGCGCAAAAAAAGGGGACACGCAAGATTTACGTGGTTCGGCGCAAATTTGCCTACGTCCACGGGCTGCTGCAGATCTTTCACTATTTGGGAGAAATATTACAAGTGTTTTTCACACTCAAACTCACAACCCTCTTCACTCTGAAAATTGCTCTCAATTTTCTCTCTTGGATTTTTTCACTCACAGAGTTTTCTTTCTTCTCTCTTAATCACTCTCTAAGCTTATGCTCTTTTCTGTGATTTTTGGAGTACGTTCACCAGAGGAAGAGAGGGGGGATTTTATAGGCTTCAATGTTCCCTTTTTTCTTCCTGGCGTCTCTCTTTTGTCAACACACACCAACCCTTCCTGATGTCTTCATCTGCTTTTGTCAAAAAACTTTTAGGTGGCATGATCTTTTTGACAAAAAAGAGCCACATGCTCTTTTGCATTTTTTTTATCAAAAAGGCTGCCCCCCTTTGCTTTCGGTGGCAGCATTGACTAACAATCTCCCACTTGAAGACTGATTTTAATCTGTCTTCACACCTCGATCTATGCAGCAGCTCTTCCCGGTCTTCATACTATTGCAGGCCAACTGAAGCTGAACACAGCTTCAGTTTGTCAATAGTCACCGTCTTTGTCAGCATGTCTGCCGGATTTTGAGCTCCACTGATCTTTTCAAGCTTCAAAATTCCATCTTCCAGAAGTGACCGGATAAAATGATACCGCATCTGTATGTGCTTTGTTCTGGAATGAAAAGATGGATTCTTCGCTAGATGAATAGCACTTTGACTGTCGCAGTATAAGACATTGTCTTCTTGTTTCTTGCCTAATTCATCCAAGAAATTTTGAAGCCACACCATTTCCTTGCTGGCTTCTGTAACAGCGACATATTCTGCTTCAGTTGTGGAGAGAGCAACTATCTTCTGCAGTTGAGAAGCCCAACTCACTGCAGTACCTCCTAGAGTATATACATACCCTGTAGTGCTCTTTCTGATATCAACATTTCCTGCTAGATCAGCATCTACATAGCCTGTTAGTATTGTATCTCCACCTTTGAAACAAAGTGCTTTACCTGTAGTGCCTCGTAGATATCTGAGGATCCACTTGACTGCTTCCCAGTGTACCTTGCCTGGATCATTCATGTACCTGCTAACAGCTCCCACTGCTTGAGCAATATCCGGTCTTGTACAGACCATGGCATACATCAGACTTCCAATTGCTGAGGCGTACGGGACCTTCGCCATGTGTGCACGCTCTTCCTCTGTCTTCGGTGACTGTTCTTTAGAAAGTCTGAAATGAACACCTAAAGGTGTACCCACTGGTTTCGCATCTTGCATGTTGCACCTGGAGAGTACTTTGTTGATGTACTCAGCCTGTGATAACATTAAAGTCCCAGACTTCGTGTCTCTCTTGATCCTCATTCCAAGAATTTGTTTTGCAGCACCAAGATCTTTCATCGCGAACTGCTTTGACAATTTTTGCTTCAAATTTATAATCTCTTGCAGATCTGATCCTGCAACGAGCATGTCATCAACGTATAACAATAAAATAATGAAGCTATTGTCAAACCTCTTGATATAGCAACAATGATCTGCTTGACATCTAGTGAAACCGTTGTTGCCCATGAAGTTGTCAAACTTCTTGTACCACTGCCTGGGAGCTTGTTTCAATCCATACAAGCTCTTCTTCAAACGGCATACTAGATTTTCCTTGCATGCATTCATGAAGCCTTCTGGTTGCTTCATATAGATCTCCTCCTCTAAATCACCATGAAGGAAAGCTGTTTTTACATCTAACTGCTCAAGATGTAAATTCTCAGCAGCTACAATTTTCAACACTAATCTGATTGTAGTCAGTTTCACGACTGGAGAAAAAATTTCATTATAGTTGATACCTTCCTTTTGTTGAAAACCTTTGACAACCAATCTTGCCTTGTAGCGCTTGTTCCCATCATGCTCTTCTTTGATCCTGTAGATCCATTTGTTATGCAAAGCTTTCTTACCTGGTGGTAATTCAGCTAAGTCCCACGTCTGATTTGACATGAGTGAGTCCATCTCATCTTGCATAGCAGACTCCCACTTGACTGAATCTTCCACCTGCATTGCTTCATCATAGCACTCCGGTTCACCACTGTCAGTCAGCAACAGGTAGTGCAAAGAAGGCGAATAACGCTGGGTTGGTTTAGGAATTCTGGAGGAGCGTCTCACTTCTGGCGTGCTTGGTTCTTCTTGATCTGCTTCGGGGCTAGTCTGGACATCTTTTTCAGAAATCTCCTCAAATTCAGCAAATTCCTTTGTTTCAGTTTTTGTACTGGAGCTACTTGATTCTGCAGTTGATCTGTCTTTGTACATCACATTCTCATTGAATATGACATCTCTGCTTCTGATGATCTTTCGATTTTCATAATCCCAAAATCGGTAACCAAACTCATCACCACCATAACCAACAAAAACACATTTGTTAGATTTGGCATCAAGTTTACTTCTTTCAGCAGAATCTATGTGTACATAAGAGATACAACCAAAAATTCTTAAATGTGAAAGGTTTACCTCTTTTCTGCTCCAAGCTTCTTCCGGTATTCCACCATCCAAGGGAACTGAGGGTCCGCGGTTGATTAGATAGGCTGCGGTATTGATAGCTTCAGCCCATAGGAACTTGGGCAAGCCGGCATGTAACCTCATGCTTCTGGCACGTTCATTCAAAGTTCTGTTCATGCGCTCCGCTACGCCATTCTGCTGCGGTGTCATGGGAACTGTTTTCTCCATCTTGATCCCGCTGTTTGCGCAAAACTCTTTGAATCTACTGTCTTTGTACTCTCCTCCATTGTCTGACCTCAACTTCTTTATCTTCAAACCAGTTTCATTTTCCACCATGGCCTTCCATTTTCTGAAGGTATCAAAGACTTCTGATTTCTTCTTTAGAAAATAAACCCACACCTTCCTTGTAGAATCATCAATGAAGGTGACATAGTACAGTGAGCCTGCAAGAGATGAAACTGGAGATGGTCCCCATACGTCAGTATGAATCAATTCTAACCTTTCTGTCTTGGGTGTCTTGCCAATCTTTGCAAAACTGACTTTCTTCTGTTTGCCAAAGATACAATCCTCGCATAGGCCGACATCTACATTCTTCAGATCCGGTAGCTTCCCTTTTGACAGAAGTGTCTTCATCCATTTCTCGCTCATATGGCCAAGCCTTTAGTGCCATAAGTTTGATTTTTCATCTTCATCTGTTACTACAATAATATTCTCTAGGTTAGAAGTTACATAGAGAGTACCACTTTTCTTACCTCAAGCAATGACGAGTGCTCCTTTGGCAATCTTCCATTCATGACCTGAGAAAGTTATACAGTAACCCTCATGATTCAATTGGACTGTTGACGCTTAGAATCATAGCATCACCTCCTTCCTCGGTCACGTTGGCAGACTCCTGTGCGCCGGTGTTTTTCTTCGGTGCCCGACACTCCCTCTTGAAATGACCCTTCTTGCCACAATTGTAGCACTTGAAGTCTTTCTTTCCTGATCTAGATTTGCTCCTTCTAGATTTTGATCTGCCGTGATTTGAACTTCTTTCTGAAGTTCTTCCCCTAGACTCCGTGTGTAAAGCTGAGGAGGTTGAAGCTTCACCCGATTCTCTCCGTCGGATCTCTTCACTAAGAACCAGATCACGAACATCATCGAACTTCAACTTGTTACTTCCCGATGAGCTACTCACAGCCGTGACTGTAGCGTTCCAGCTTTCTGGTAGAGAAGAAAGAAGTATCAACGCTCGTACTTCTTCATAAAATTCAATCCCAACTGAACTCAACTGGGTTGTGACTATGTTGAGTTCATTGAGATGTTGAGCTGTCGATGCGCCTTCCGTCATTCGCAAATTGAACAGCCGCCTCATCAAGTGAACTTTGTTTGAGGCAGAGGGCTTCTCGTACATGCTGCAGAGAGCCGCCATAAGACCCGCCGTGGTCTTTTCCTTTGCTATGTTGAAGGCAACGTTGCGGGATAGCGTCAATCGGATAACTCCAAGGGCTTGTCTGTCGAGGAGAGCCCACTCTTCATCCTTCATATCATCTGGCTTCTTTCCCGAGAGAGGTTGATACAGCTTCTTCTGGTACAGATAGTCTTCGATCTGCATCTTCCAAAAGCCGAAGTCCGCACCATCGAACTTCTCAATTTTCACCTTCCCTTCGTCTGCAGCCATCGCTCCCACTCGAATCTGACTTCCTCTGGATCGTTTCTGACAATTTTTGCGAACCACCTTGTATTAAGATACCTCTGCCGACAAGTCAGTACCGCCGGCAAAATTCCACTATTCACGAAATTTACTATTCACGTGAATAGTAACCTTGCAGAAATTTGACAGACGTCACAACCAGAGCTCTGATACCAGTTGTTGGGAAATTACTCGTTGTTGGGTGATTACTCGGATTCACCTATTGCCAGATTTGAGAGAAAATAAAATGCGCATGTTTGTGGAAAAATTTGCAGTAAAAGAAATAAAAGAAAAATTGATTTGTATTCCTTTAATCTCAGTTACAATTGGGTTTTTGATTACAAAAGAGAAGAGAATGATCGGGATTCTCTCCTTTGTTTAATTCTGGGTTCTTCTTAGTAGCGGTGAGATGCCTCCCTCGATTGTTTGCGTCGAGTTTGCTTCTCGTTGACGATCCGAATATCTATACTCACTGGAACAACTGTCTTGTCTGGTTGATAACTCTTGACGAGTTTTGTGATTCAGAACAAGCAACAAACTCTAATGATAGAGTTGTTGGAACCGAAAATAATTCGGTTAATAAGCCAAATATCGACGGTTTAGAGTTCCTCCGTCTGTTGATTTCCCAGACTGTGTAAGGAGTCAATCCTCCTTTTTCTGATTCTGGAAGATCTGATCGAAAGGCCTTCTCCACAAAAATCCAC